CTGAATCACGTGCCGGGGGCTCCACAAAAGAATCTTCATTGTCAGGTTCAGGTTCAGGGGGTATAAAGTGAGTTGGTGGCTCGACAGTTGCCAAAGTAGCTTGCGGGAAAGGAGAGCTTGGTTGCAATTTCTTCTTGTATTGTAAAAAGTTATTTTGAAGTTGTACATATTGGCGTGCTTTCTGGTCAGTATTTATGTTGGAATTCTGTAGCAAATCACCCATTTGCTTCTGTAGGCTTTGCAGCTTGGAGGCGATGGGAGGGAGCTCAACATTTTGCTGCTTGAGATATTTCACCAACTCTCTTGATACTTCATTATTCGCGTAGGAAACCTCTTGTTTCCCTTCTCCAGGCAAAACATTGGTTCGAAGCCTACAGTGGTCTGGAGTAGTGGTTTTCAAATCAATGAAAAGGTATCCAAACGGTCGACTTACTGCCTCTTCATATTTCTGAAGAAAATATCCAGTTTTTCTTGGATACATTTGCTTTGCCAGTGTAAGAATCTGAAGTTTATCTCTTGGGTTCTTGAATATTACCAAATAATGACAATTTAAGCTGATGTCCCTGTTTCCTTTGCCTTGATGAAAAAGATTTTGGACCAAGTAGATTACACTCAAGTTGCGATGATGGGATCCCTGTGTAAATAGGTTGATCACCTGCTTGTCATTACTGGCGGAGCTCATTTGGTCATCAATGACGATAAGATTGCGCACGTTGACGTCAAAATAATCGTCATGCTCAATATTGGTGGGGATTCCCCGCACAAATTCAATCTCGAGAATGGTCTGCATCATTTCTTCATAGGCGGGCTGCCATCTTGAGTAACACCATAAGATTCTSTGTGGTGTTGGTTTGATAGTGTCAGCTTTGTTGTGCACAAGACGTTGGACCCAGGTTGTTTTTCCACATCCAGTCATTCCAGAGACCATACARGTAAAAGGGTGTTTCAGACGAAATGTTTCACACTTGTCCTTGTTTATATTCATAGAAATTTCYCTTGACATGATGTTAGGATGCTTCTTTTCATARTCAAGCCATTTCYTTCGAATATCACCCTCCATGTGATGGGTAAGTGTTAAATGACTCCACAGATTGCTTCTAGAAACCTTACAAATAGGACAGGTTCGCTTCATGGTCTGACAGCAARTGAACCAAACYCTTTCGAAGTTKAGCTTATATYATATTYGATTAAAGGCCTGGTCTCTAAGCAACGAATAGCTTGATAAGTTACTCATTCATTCATTCAGTCAGTCAATCAGTCAGTCATTCAGTCAGTTATTCAGTTATTCAGTCACTTATTCAGTCAGTCATTCAGTTATTCAGTAATTCATTCAGTTATTCAGTCAGTTATTCAGTCAGTCATTCAGTTATTTAGTCAGTCATTCAGTTATTCAGTCAGTCATTCATTCAGTCAGTCAGTCAGTCAGTTAGTCATTCAGTTATTCAGTCAGTCATTCAGTTTTTCATCTCATTCTAAGCCAATAAGCGTTAGCGCTTACCTCACAGGTCATATGAAAGTGTATAAATAGGAAACAAAGATTAAACGCAATTCATTTGACCATCATATCTCAAGTGGTAAAGAAGAACCGCAGCTATCTACAACTCTTAGTTTATTGCCCACATCATCAACGAAAGCTTTTGCTTGAAACGGCAACTCCCGCGCAGGTGCATGCGATTGTTCAAGCAGCACATAATATATGCAGAGGACATATCCCTTTGAGAAATAGAGAAAAAGAAATCTTGATGCCTTTTAAAGATTCTATCAAAGAACTCGAAGACCCAAGCACTCCATATAAGAAAAAGAAACAGATTCTCGTGCAAGAGGGGGGGTTCATTTATTCCCGATATGTTGACCCCCTTCCTCAGTGCTCTTTTATTGCTATAAACTCGTCAGCTGGAGGAATCAGCAGTCATTTGCTTTGGACATCGGTGCAGTAAACTTCTCTATCATGAATAGAAAGTCATCTTTAGATAATGAAGCTGAAGAAATTCATGAAATACCTAATGATGAAGATAGCGAAAGTGATGATGATGAAGTGCCCATAATCCAGTTAGTGTTACAAGAGCTCCCTGGTTCTGTTTCTCAACAGCATGCTTCAGATCTTTTGCACAGTATGGCTGCATCTAAAGACATTTTGTTTTGGACTCCGAGAGGGGAATTACTCCGTAATCAACGTCGTATCCCCGAAACCAGTATCTCAGAACTTTTGGAGTATCTGCTGCTTCCTTTCAATAACGATGTAACAAAACCGCGTGCCCTCAATTCGTTCCTGGAAGGACTGGCGGAGCTCGGAATCAACAAGAAATGGATAAAAAATAAAAAAGCCTTGAGAGTAATTCTTGACAAGGAGGAAATACTGAATTGTCACTCTGAAGAAATCACCGAAAGTGATGATAGCGATGAAAGCTCCATCAGAAGCGAACATTCGGAAACCGAAGAAGAAGATTCGGAAGATTCAGAATMAG